GCGCATGGATCAGTGGTTCTCAAACATGAGTGTGTGTCAGAATCACAGGGAACTCTTGGTGCACCACAGGCAACTGCTCACTACCCGCAGGCTTTCTGAGGTCTTGGTGAGCATACAGGCAGGCGCGTATAATTTATCTCTTCTCCTGGTCTCCGTAAGTAGTTGAAAGCCAATGTGTTATTTAGTATTCAGCTTAAAAGAGGAAGGAACACATTCTAAGCCTCATGAGTACCTGTGTGAGGGTGAGGGTGTGGGGAGCCGAGATGCCAGTGGGATTCAAAGCAGGCACAGGTGGGGCAGATTATAGAAAGATAGATTCATGGTTGAGACAAATACTGGGGAGATAAATAAACAACTGCCCTCCAACCTGCCTCATCATTTAGATGAGGTAGGATCCCTGTGGACTGAGGGAGAGAGTTGTAGGTATCAAGGAGGTTGGCACTGGTGGAACCTGAAGAGAATAACAGGAAGTTTGGGCTGGATATGGCCCTGGAATGGTGGACAGACCCTGAGAAGAAATGGCAGTAAGTTACTAGCATTACTGGCAGTGGATTGTTAGAGCTAGTAGTAGTAGTAGTAGAAACAAGCCTTGAGCTAGACTGAAGACCATGGGACAAGGGTGACCCATGTGCATGAGGCAATAAGGGTACTGGGCATCTCCACTCTGACCCCTGGTTTGTGTCATGTGAATAAGGCCTGCCAAGTGTTCCAGCCACCATGTGGTCCTCCTCCTGCAGAAGAAGTCCCTCTGTCACTCTGCCATGCTTCCTCCGCTGTGATGGACTCTGCCATCTAAAGTGATAAGCCGAAACCAATCCCTCCTCCCATAAGCTGTTTCTGATAGGCATATCAGACAATATGAAAAGTAACTAATATAGATAGCTGTATTCATTTTGACACCCCAAACAGATTATACTGATAAATTTCACTCTAGGGTGTGAGGGCCATGTGGAAATGAAAGCAGAGCAGGTGGTGACGAATTCTCTGTCAAGGTCACCTTCCAGAGGTGTAAGACTTGAGCTAGAAGATGGTAGATAAATGTGTGTTTAACATGTTATAGATGAAAACGTTAGACGAATGACATTTCCATTTCAACACATGATCTTTCCAATCCCTTTTTCTAGTTACAGGATTTTCCAGGACTATAAGGACTACCGAGAAATTACAAGAGATTCCTTTTGCATATAACACCATTCTTTTCTTTGAAACAATTTTACGTGTTGATAGTGCCAAGATCAAGTCTTCTTTTTTCCGTTTTTTTTTTTTCTTTTGGTTTTTCGAGACATGGTTTTTCTGTAGCTTTGGAGCCTGTCCTGGAATTAGCTCTTGTAGACCAGGCTGACCTCGAACTCACAGAGACCCGCCTGCCTCTGCCTCCCAAGTGCCGGCATTAAAGGCGTGCGCCACCACTGCCTGGCTTCAAGTCTCCTTCTTGAACACGTGGACTGGAAAGCCCAGTCCAAACTCTTCCTTCCTTTCCTTTGCCCTATTTAGAAAGATTGTCAGACTTGGACATTTTCAGTCATCCTGCATGTGCGCAGATCCTCTGACTGGCGTGTTTCAGTTCTGTAAACCCTCCTGGATTGATGATTACTCTGAAGGTTTCATTGACCAGATGCCCTGGATAGGCTGGGAGCAGGCAGGGTTCCACTACCTTTAAAAATTCATGTGCGAGGGTGTTTTATCACATGTATGTCTGTGTGCCACATGTGGACAGTGCTCACATAGGACAGAGATGGTATTTTATCCCCTGGAATTAGAGTCCAGGTGGTTGTGAGCCGCCATGTAGGCACTGGAATCGAACTCAGGTCCTCTGGAAGAGCAGCAAGTGCTCCTAACCACTGAACCACCTTTCCAGCTCCAGACTACTTTCCTATTTTAAATTTACTCAAAGCTTTCTAAAAAATTTTTATGTGTTGAAACTGACATTGCTGGAAGCACATACAATAGAAATTAGTTTTATTCCCATGGTGCAGATGAATGCAGTTAGGATACGTGAGTCAAGAGACCATTGAAAAGGATCCCCAGAACTGGGGAAGCGACAAAAGAGGAAAGGCATATAGCAGCAACTGGAGTAGAGTCAATAGTCCCGGTTTCATTCGGCTAAACACCCTTTTGTGTATTTGTTTATTTTGTGTGTGTATGCATGTTAATATGTGTGTGGGCACATATGTGTGTAGCATGAATGTGGAGGTCAGAAGACATCTTGCAGGCCATTAACTGTTCTGCCGTTCTACCCCGATTCCTCGGGCTTGGTGGCAAGCACATTCACCCCTGCTACCCACTGAGCTGTCTTACCTCCTCAACTCCCATTAAAAGATTCTCTCTCATATATAGGGATGGGTTTGGATATGGGTTTGGATACACGTATGGGTCTGGGTATAGTTAGGTATGTGTGAAACAAGGTCTCATATAGTTCAGTGTGCTGCCTAGTTTTATGTCAGATTGACATAGGCTAGAGTCATGTGAAAAAAGAAATATCTCAATTGAGGAAATGCCTCCAAAAGATCCAGTTATAGGCATTTTGTTAACTAGAGATTGATAGGAGATTGTTCACTGTGCCTGGTGCTACTTCTGGGCAGGTTCATCTGGGTTCTGCAAGAAAGCAGACTGAGCAAACCATGATGAGCAAGCCAGTAAGCAGTACCCCTCCATGGCTTCTGCATTAGTTACTACTTCCAGGTTCCTTCCCCGATTGGGTTCCTGTCCTGACTCCCTTCAGTGGTGGATAATGATGTGGAAATGTAAGCCAGATAACTGTTTCCTCCCCAACTTGCTTTTGATCATGATGTTACATCACAACAATAGGAACCCTATGTAAGACTCCAAGAATGAGCCCACATTCACTCAATAGTCAAGGATGACTTTGAACTCTTTGCTTCTGCCTCCTAAGCAGTGGGATTCTAGCCTGTATCACCAGGCTCAGCCTTGAAGAACTGCTTTGAATAAAGATTGCAAGTTAACATTGGAATCTCAGTGTGGGTTTGTTTTCCTTTCTCTGTGTGGGATATTCTGAAGTTAATGGTCTATAAACAATTTGCTGGTTAGACCCTGTCATTCTCAGTGAATCATTGTTGAGCATAGCCCCAGCAGGTGGTGTTAAAACTGGGAGGCAGTTTCAACATTGCCTTGCTGCTCTTCTAGTGAAATTTCTGTGGGCCCCACAGGCGGCTGGAGGGAGCATTCCCTTGCTGAGAAGGCTCTTAGGGGGCTCTATTCCCATCTGCATAGGTGCAGCATTGGTGAGCACAGTCCCTGCTGGCTGATATCTCCACACTGTGTTCGAACTGCTTCCTGTTTACGGCAGGGGAGTAAAAGGAATGGGTGAACATGACACCAAAGACTAGAGATGTGATCCAAAAGCCGTATATTATCAATCACACATTCTGAGAGGCTGAGGGAGGAAGACCCAGTGGTGGCACATGAGGCCAAAGAGGGTTGAACTTGAGAGCAGAGGGAACATCTGGGGTGCTGAAACGTTACTACAAACCAGGCTTTTAGTATCAAGGGAATAGGATAGTTCCTGGTTTCCTTGGGGAGACATATTTGAGTTATTTTAATAAGTCCGTGCATTGTTACAGAACTGAGCCCTCGACTAGGAATGAAAAGGAACTTGACCTGGTCTACTAGGTAAGGAAGGTTAGGTTGCTTGTCCATTGTTCTTAACCCATGAGGAGAGGGAGAGGGCCTTCAAAGCTTGCCCAGTTTTAGTAAATTTTACTATTAGGTCTTCAGCCACATACTGAGGGATATCCTTACATGAAGGCTTTTGCTATGTCAGACTACCTCTAATCATCACTTCAAGAACATGATCTCCAATCTTTTTGTGACTGGCAGCTCCAGGGCACAAGTATTCTTCAGCCTGAAGACAGGATGCCAACTGTGTCAGCCGGGCCTTCTGTCTCTGGGACAAAAATGGGAGAAAAACAACTAAAGGTGGCAATTGATTGTATTCAGCTGGTGGGTTTGGATGTTTTCATCCACAGTCCTTTGTTGTGCTGATTCTAGGTCTATGGTGAGGTGGAACACCCTGGTGTTGGGAGCACACAGGGTAGAGGCTACAAACCTCACGTGGGACTGGAAGTTGGGGAGGGAATGGACCGTAGACTAGGTTTAACTTTTAAATGTATACCCCTAGTAGGTGCCTCCTCCTCCTAGGCCTACCTCTTAAAGTTTCCCCTGCCTTAAAAGCAGCACATGAAGTGGGATCACATGTTCAGCACAGGAGCATGTGGGGACATCATATGATCAAACAAAGCTAGGTTCTAGAGTCTTGCCAACTATCTAGTGTGCAACAGTATTCTAGTTTCTTTCCGACTGATGTCGGGTATCACTGGTGCTAGGGAGGAGACACCTGAGGACAGCACTCATCAGTTTTCAGCCTCAGTGGCTCCAGGTTCATGTAATTTTCACACTAGGCTGCTAGGATGCTCTGCTTGCTTTAGCCAGATTTCCATGAGTAGTTAGGGTTGTGTGTTGAGAAGGAATAGGCAAAATTTGCCAAGAGCACAGAAAAGGATTTGTGAAAAGCACACAGACTGATTTCAGAGAGCAAAGGACAGAGGACTGTGTGGTCTTCAGGAGTGGAGAGGGAAGCAGAAGCTGCTAGTCGCAGGCATTCTAGATCTCACCCTCCCCACACTTGACCAAGGCACCCCATTTCATTGCATTTGCACCCAGGCTTTATCCCTTCCAGGCCACATGGTGAAAACCACTGTAGGTCCATGGCCTTTGTTCTTTTCTTTTCCACAGATTCTGCTAGACTGGCTTCCTTTAATCTTAGCTTGAGACTTCCTAGGCAGGAACGTGTGATTTGTTTATCTTGGATCACTCAGGGACCAACAGTTTGAAATCAGGAAGCACTAGCATTCTCCAGAGAAACAGAACAAAGAGGCACAGATGTTTACAGAAGTCCTGTTACTGTATCCAAGCACAGCTCCTGGCAGCAGAGCTTTGGTCCATGTCTGAAACCTGAAGAACCACAAGAGCCATTAGCAGAAAGTCCAGTCCACAGGCAAGAGATTGATATTCCAGATTGGGCAGTGAGAGATACGCAGGGAGAGATAATTTCCTGTCCATGGCGTGCTGTTTTATTCAAGTCTTCAGTTGAGTGGGTAAGGTCATTAGGGAAGGCCGCTTTTCTTACTTGGTCTACCAACTGATATGGCAACTCTGCCGACAACCTCACAGACACACCTACAAGTAATGTTTAGTCAGATAAGGGGGCATCCCATGACCCAGACGTACTGATGAATAAAATGGGGATGTTAGATCACCTCAGCCAAAACTGGTCAAGAGCCTTGCTGTGTGCATGTGAGTTGAGTGAGTCTCATAGGAAGTTCTCGTAGGAAGATGAGTTGCCTTATGAACTACATTGCCTTTGCTTTTTTTAAAACACTTTAATTTTATTTATTGTTTGAGTACATTTTATTTAACGTCTATGAGTGTTTTGCCTGCATGCATGCCTGTGCACCGTATAATGCTTGGTGCCCACAGAAGCCATTTGAAAGTGTCATGTCCCCTGGAATTGGAGTTACAGATAATTATTGTTGCTGGAAATCAAATCTTGGTCCTCTGGAAGAATTGCCAGTGCCCTTAACCACTGAGCCATCTTTCTAGCCCATATTCTTGCTTTAAAACAATGTTTTTGCTAGTTCTTTGCGAATTCCATACAACATGTTTTGATCATGTTCTTTCCCCTTCTTCAACTCTTAAGAATAAGTTTTATAAAATAGGGGTTCATCGTTCAGGGCACTGGTGGAATGGTCTCCATTGCTCTGTTGTGTGCTGATTTTTGTGGTGGTTACATTTCCCCTGAGGATACCATTTGCTGTGTTCTACACCCTACATAGAATGAGATTTCGTGTAGCTTTGAATTTTGTCTGGCAACTAGCCTGAATTAGGGAAGTAATTTAGCCTCTTTCAACTTTCTTCTCATTAATAAAACAGAGATCAGATACAGGAGTTTTCTAAGTATTAAATAACATATTGTATGCAAAGTCCTTGTCGTTTGAAGGCTAACTATTATTATCACTAATTTACTACTAATCATTATGTCATGTTGGCATGTTCTCAGTCTAACACTGACAAAGGCCATTCAATAAATTGAAGCCTTCCTTTTGACGGATGGTGACAGCAAGATTGCAAACCAATAGGTGTTCTGAAAGGCACGATCTCTGCTTCCCAAACACATAGAACACATAATTATATATTTATGCTAACAAGGACTGAGAAGCAATAATCTTTAATTTTTTCATTTGTTTGCGGTGACATCCAGTAACCCAGACCAGTGTTCCGTGGTGGGGAGACCACATAACGACAGTCCAATCTAACATTAGCTGTAAATCTGTGGGCCAACTGAAGCCTGTCATTTCTATCACATAAATATAATGGGGAAAATACCAATTTGAATCTCTTGTGCTTTTTGTTTTTAAAATACAGTTTCAGGAGAATGTGTGGTTTGAACAAAGATTGCGTTAGAGTCTGTTATTCAATAAAGCGAACAAACGGGGGTGTTTTAATGGAGATCTGAACACGCTAGTTTGCAATAATTGTAAGGACAATTCTTTAAAGCCAGCAAGATGACTTGGGGAGTAAAGGCACTTGGTTGATGAGGCAAAGCTGAGGACCCAAGTATAACCCCAGAATCATGACAAGGTGGAAGGTGAGATCCACTTCACAGAGTTGTCCTCTGACCTCTGCTCTGTAGCACCATAGGCTGGCATGACTTCATTGGGCCTCTCAGGACTCTTCCTTCAGGCCTCTGGTTAAATTTAAGTGGATGTTTTATTTACTTTTGGATATTTTAGCAGTTCTTTTATAGTCCAAAAAATGGTCAGTTTCCTGAGTGTTTGTCTGGCACAGTTTTTAAGATTTCTTGTTCTGTTATGAAGGGCAGCTTTAGCTGGGATGAGTTTTTTTTGTGTGTGTGGGGGGTGTTTTTCTCTCAGTGATTGAATCTGCAGCCTCCGGCTTATTCTGAGGCTGGGGTATAGTTCAAGGTCCCCAAAGGGCCCAGTTTGTAAAACAAAGGCTCAATACCATTCAGTTTATGGTTCAGTGTACCAATGCGAATGTATATTGTTCTGCCTATTATTCCATTCCCAATGAAGATAAAATCGAATTTGCAAGTTATTCTCATCAGGTTGAGAAACCTAGAGATTAGAATTGAACTCCACTTAGAACTCCTAGTGGGGAATGAAAGGCCAGAAAAGATTCCATTTCTGTACTGGGCCCTTTTAGGACCTTGAACTACAACCCAGCAGAAGGCTGCAGAACAGTTGAAGGCTGACTTCCCCACCTCAGCCCCCAGGATAAGCTGAAGGCCGTAAGACCCCTCTTTAGGGGAAGTGTTAGCTAATGGAGAAACCTAAGTTACATAGATTTGCTGACTGCAGCCCATTCTCCCACTCAACTTCCCCTATCAGCTGGGTGATATCAACTGGGCAATGTTTCAAGCAGCCCCTGTGGTTAGCCCAGGATCTGCAGATGTCTAGAGGACATAACCAGGGGGGCTGTTGCTATCCCCCTTAGATACTAACAGCCTACCAGGAACTAACAGCTGAGCTTTACCTCACCGTTAGCCAATTGTGATAGAGGATACATAATTTTGTATTTTGAGACTATAACCTTGTGACTGTTTCATGGTTTTTTTCTTTATAAACCCCATACAATAGTAGATGGGGGCCTTCTTCCTCCGTCTGCTGTGTCAGATTGTAAGGCAGAGGGAGGACCCGTGCTAGCCCGTACTTAATAAACAAAACGTTGTTTTTGCATTCGGAAGTATGGCTCTGTGGTGGTCTTCTTGGGGGTCCTAGGACTCAGGTACAACACTAACTCCCAGGCTCCTCTGGCCTGTACCTCTCCTCCGGCTACTTCTTGTCCCCATAAAACTGACAAGGCTTTTCCCACCGTCAGCTGTTTGCCTAGCAGTTTGAGTCTCAAATTAACTCTCTTCTACCCATGGAGTATTCCAGTTCAGGTTCTTCAATATGAACTTGGTTACAGAGGAAACTGAGGGAATTTTTAAAAACAATGTAGCTGTGTGTTCTGTGGAGTGAGAGAGTTGGTTATCAGGAGCTATGGTGAATGCTGCAAACTCCGCGTTTGTTCTGTACCCTGCTGTCTCTGAAGTCCTCAGATGGTTCATCTGTGCAGGTTTGTTCTATGTTGGGAAGCACAGAGTAGGCTCCTGTATCAGGATCCCACAAGATGGGGATGCAGATAACCTCTTCATCTTTGCCACGGCACAGGGATGCTGCTTTCAGGGTGACACTCAAGTGACGTGATTTTTGCCTTTTTTTCACTGTATACACTTTGAACTTTTAATTTTTGTTGGACACTGGCCCCTCTTTTGTAGAATCCCGGGCTCAAAGAATTCTTCTCATGTATCAGTGGCCATCAAGATTGGGGTTTCTCTGAGTGGAGAGGAATGAGGGCTGGACCCTTCTATTCTCCATCATCTTGCCGGACTCTAATTCAGGCCAAGTTGGACATGTAGGTGATACTTGGGAGCAGGAAATTTGGGGTGTGGAGATTAGAGAGGTGTGTAGGGGAAGAAAAGAGTTGTGAAAAAATAAGCAAGAAAAAGAATTATTTCATGAGGATGTTAAAACCATGTTTTATCTTTCATTCTTGACTGCATGTTGTCTCAAAATCTTGAGTGAAAATCAGTACTCACTAGCATGCATGTACAGTTGTATCTGCTCAGCCAGAGTCACAGGCTCTTAGTGTAGCCATAAAAGTAATAGCAGAGGACCTCTGTGGAGGGGTCCCTATCTCTGGATCGCACCAGGAGTCAAGGTCCGTCTTCCAACATAACTCTCCTGGGAACTCCTCTGAGTATCGCAGAGAGCTGATAACTTTTATTTTATTTTATTGAAACAAATTCTCATTATTATAGGCCTGGCTCTCCCAGAACTCACAATAAAGACCAGCCTGGCCTTGAACTTACAGACATCTGCTTGTTTCTGCCTCCCAAGTCCTGGGATGAAAGTCATATGCCACTACATGGAGCCTGGTGGTCATTTTCTCGAGCACTTAGCTCATGAGAAAGCAGCAAACTCAGCTTGTGTCTGGATTGGCTAGAGCATGCATCTGTTAGAGCACGAGTTAGTTGAAAGGAAGATCTTAAGACGTTTTTGCTTTCTAAGCCCGAATATTGACAAATGCTAGGCTTATCATGGGTACCCGTTAGATGGTGATCAGGATTAGTTAGGTTGAGTTCCCCAGGCATCATCTTTAGGTGCATTTGCTCCTGGTACGGGGGAGTGACAAATAAACATGCACAGTGCCGAGAATTTAATGGAACTGCACTGTGCAGCTGTCAGGTCTTCTTGCCTAAGCCATCTAATGCCAGGATGCTGTTGCTAAGGCTTTCCATGGCTTCACGGTTTGCTTATTATTCTAATAAGAATGTTTACTGCTCTTGGTAGCAGCTGGGAAGCTGTATTTTTCTTGGCTGCTGCTGACCTTTTAACCTCATTTGGGAATGAGGCCTGTGGTTGTGTAGACCGAAGAGCTGGGTTATAACCAGGTCAGCCTTTGTCTTGAAATAGCCGTGAAAAAGAAGTACTAAGTAAGCTGACTATGGAGAAGGTTTCAGGGCCCAGAGGAATAAACAAAGGAGAGAAATGAATTCATAGCTCTAAGCAGAGGAAAAGGAAGGGCAAAGCTGCGGTACTCAGTGGAATGACACTTATGACTTGATTGAAAAGGGGAAGGTTCAGAGTGTGTCAGTATGTAATCACTGCTATCCTTTCTGGTGTCCTTCCTGGTGAAATTGAGGTCAATGCATCTCTGTCTAGGGTGAGGCTTTGAGGGTGGCATAGTTGGCTCATACTTCGAGACATCAGGAAGTTTGTTGGCTTACTTGAAGGCTGCCCTGAGTCAGCTACTTCTCTACCATTGTTTAGTAAATGAAATTACTAAATGTGTTAGAGGAGGTAACTCTAACTCAGTGGTTAGAACCAGGGGCAGCGGAGCCTGAGAAGATGAGTGTTTTGATGTCTGAGTAAACAGTTCCTTTCATGTTAAAGAGAAATCTCCATGCCATACGAGACATCTTTGTCAGGTGGAAACTTACGTGTTTGATGTCACGACAAACATTGTTCAT